CACCTGGACTAACCCACGGGAACAAGCCGTGAGGATGAATGGGGCTGGAACCATTTTGTTCTGAGCCCCCTCACTTCACGTTTTGGACACCATTGGCCCATCGGCTCATTGCAGGAACCAGATCACTTGATGACCTCAATGAAAAAAATCGCGACGGATTTTTTGAACGGGCCCTCGTCTGTGGGCGAAACGTGAGGGCATCCCGAACGGAATGCCCTCTCCGCATGGCCCCCCCGCGTCACGGTTCTAAAATTAAGAAGAAACAATCGGGTTCAGTCGTATCACTGGAGCACCCCCGAAGGGGGACATCGTGAGGATGTCTCGAGCGGAAGCCTCGCTTGCGAGTAAATAGCGAGGAAGTTGCCTGCGGGATCCTGTGGTGCACCATTTACACTGGTTCAAAGGTGCGACAGGCCGGACAAAACTCACAGGGCCCACAGTTCCCACAGGCCGCAGAAATCCAACAAATGCTACAAGGCCCACGCGTCCCGAAGGCCCCACAACTCCCGCACGCGCCGCACGACCCACACGTCCCGAAAGTCCGACACTTGCCACGCACATGTCCCGCAGGTAAATCACGCCCCACACGTCCCACAAGCCCCCCAAGCCTCGCAAATATTCCAAGACCCAAGCGTCCTGCACGGTTGGCGAGTAACGCGCGTCCCACAAACCCAACAAACCCTCCAGACAACACAAAACCCACGGGCCCCACATGTGAAACATGTCGCGCACGCTTCACAAACGCCCGAAGGTCCACGGGGCCCAGTGCCCCCACATGTCCCGAAAGGGGCCGGCGTGCTCACAGGTCACAAGCTCTGCTGTGTTAAAAGCCCCGCGGGCCCCACAGGTCTCTACGGCCTCACAGGTCGCATCCTGGCATCATCACCATGTTTCGTCGTTGATTATGGCTATCATGATCCGTTGCGACGCAATGCAGCCCGCCACCGGTCAATACAAGATCTGACATCCCCCGCTGGGTTCCGATCTAACCCTCCCTCACGCGGTTTCGGATGGCCAAAGACTCCCCCCCCTGGGATGCCCATCTGTTTCGAACGCGTAAAAGCAATCAGACATGCATGCATCCTCGCAGTGTGGCTTCCGATCGGTCTTGGGAGCCTCAACGTAGCTTTGCCCGCGTGCGCCCTGAAAAAAAAAGGCCCCAACGCCCAATGCCGCCCAAATGTGGCGACCGACGCCCCCGACGGGGGAATGACACCGCCCCCATCGCCCCCCCCCCCCCTCTGTTCTTCCGCAGCTGACCTCCAAAACGGCCACACGAAGACTCCCAAACCTCCCGAAAACACCCCCAAACAACCCGGAAAGGGCCCGAACCGTCCCCTAACGGCAACCAAGATATCGCCGGGAAAGGTTCAATCTGTCCGAAAAAGCTCCCACCTCGAATCAATGTGTAAACGCGTCGCGGCGGGCTCCCGGGCCTGCTCGCGCTGATCTGAGACTTCGGTTTCACGGCCGCCCCCGTCCGCATTCCACGCATCGTTCTTGCACTTTTTATAATCGCCAACAATTCGCCGAATCATTGTTTCTGCACGGGCGCGGTGCTCCCCGCCGACTTGCGCACTTCCTCCGAATCTTCCACCCCCGCCGACGGCCTTCCCAAGGGAGGAGGAGGGCGAGGGCGGACCGCGGGGAAAAAGGAGGGGCGGGCGGAATGGGGAGCGATCGGGGGGCGTTGGAAGTGGTACGGGAGAAAGGAAGTGAAATGGTGAAGGGACGAAAGGACGGGGAACGATGGGGGAGGGGGGCGGGGGGGTGGGGGAGCGGGGGGGACGAATTCGTGCGCCCGACGCCGGTTATTTCCTAACTCCGTCCTCTCCCCCGGTCCTTTGCCCGTCTCTCCCCCTTCACACCTGTTATGTTTTTCTTCCGCCCTTCGGAAGCACATGCGCGACACTGGTCGCTGGATGGGCTGGACCAACAGGCCCTAAGCTCCTCTCTGCAATCCTTGACGCGCCGTCCGCTCCACGACGACCGCCCCGATCTCCTCGAGGCAGGCCCCCGCCTGATCACGGAGGTGGGGAACGTGCTCCTCCCCCTGCAGCTCGTGCCCAGGGGAAGGAAGGCGATCGGGAGGAAGGGGCAAGGCAGGGGGAGGGGAGGGGAAACGAAGGGGGGGGGGGAAAGCAGGGATGGGCGGAATCGGGAAGCAGGGAAAGGGGAAACGAAAGGTGAGGAAGAACACGAGTTGTTCCCGACCGCCTTGTAGTGTTGAGTGCCCGTTTTGAAGGATCGGCGGCGCCCCCCGTCCAACCTCCCTTGCTTCATCCCCTCCCTTTTCTCCCCTCCCGTCCCCCCTCTCGCCCACCAAACCGTTTCGGCGCACCCTTCGCTCGCTTCGTGGCCCCATTGGGGAGCTCCGCCTACCGCCCCAAAGGGTTCGCCTGCATGTCGCCGCCACCCCGTTTTGGCACACCCTTCACACGTTTCGTGACCTCACACGGAGCTCCACCCGAGGCCGCAACGGTTGCGCCCTCGTGCCGCCGTTCCCCCACTTTGGCGTACCCCTCGCACGCTTCTATGCCCCATAGGGAGGAACTTCACCTAAGGCCCCAGTGGTTGCGGCCCCATGCCGCCACCACGCCACTTAGCCAGACCCGTCACACGTTTCGTGGCCCCATAGGGAGCTCCAATAATGCCTCCGCCCACATTGGCGTGCCCTTCGCACTCTTCGTGGCCACAAGGGCATCTGCACCTAAGACCCCAGGGGGTGCGCCCGCACGCCGCCACCACAGCAGTTTGGCTTTCCCCTCACACGTTTCGTGACCCCACAGCGAACTCCGCTTCAGGCCCTCGCGTTTGCGCCCGTATACCGCCAACGCCCCACTTTGGTATACCCTCACACGCTTCGTGACACCATAGGAAGCTCAACCTCAGCCCCCAAAGGTTGGGCCCGCGTGCGGCCGTCACCCCACTTTGGCGCACCTTTCGCACGTTTCGCGGCCGCACAGGCTGCTCCAACGAAGGCCCCAGCGGGTGCGCTCACATGCCGCCAGCACCCCACTTTGGTGCACCCCTCACGCGCTGCGTGGCCACATAGCTAGCTTCATCTAAGGCCCCAGTGGTTGCGCCCGCTTCTCGGCCCCATAAGAAAAATCTTCACCTAGGCCCCAGTGGGTGCGCCCGCATGCTGCTAACACCCCACTTTGGCAGCCCCATCGTACGATTCGTGGCCCCATAAGGAGCTCCACTTCAGGCCCTATTGGTTGCGCCCGTATGCTGCCACCGCCCCACTTTGGCACACCCCTCACACGCGTCGTGGCCCCATATGGAGCTCCACCGAAAGCCCAAATGGCTGCGTTCGCATGTTTTGTCCAAACCATTCCGGCGCACCCATCAAAGGCGTCGTGCCCCCCCCAAAAAAAACTCCACCCATAGGCCCCAATGGTGGGAATGACATGGGTGACCGCGCCAATGTCGGCACACACTCACAAGTGGCCCCATAGGGATCTCCACCAGCGGTCCCATTGGCAGGGACCACATGCATGACCGTTCCAATTTCGGTACACTCGTTCGACGTTTCGTGGCCCTATAAGGAGCTCCGCAGAAGGTCCCCGCGGCTGCCCTCTCATGCGATATCAAAAAATCGTCGCAACCCATCCAACGCTTCGTGGCCCAATGGGGAACTCCAGCAAAGGCCTCAGCGGCAGGAGTCGCATGCGTGACCGCGCTCATGTCGGCACATGCCTCACACGTGGCCCCATAGGGAGATCCACCTAAGGCCACATTGGCAGGAATCACATGCATGACAGTTCCAATTTCGGCATACTCCTTCGACGTTTCGTGGCCTGTAGGAACTCCACCAAAAAACGCCTGCTGCTCCCCAGATCGCATCCTGCTGCTCCCCAGGGTCGGGTTGACAGACGTTGTGACGAGGTACCTCCATATGTAGCCCGTCGCGGTTCACTTCGCGACCCCATTCGTCACGTCGTTCCGTCCTTCTCACGCGCGCATTCATATGTTTGAAAGCCCTCCCTCAGTGTCGACCTGTCGCGCGCCACTCGCAGCTGCGTATGGTTGGGTCCTTCGCTAAGCTAATTTGAAGGAGTTTATGTTGAGAACTCACGTCGTCCTAATCCCAGGCGCGCGAGGGAATCGGCCCGCCAACAGCCCCCTCTGTTCTGTTTCTGGGAATCCAGGAAATCAGGGAAATCAGGCACATACGGCAAATTCCAAACCAGCGCCTTCGCGAGGGACATCCTGAGAAAAACGGACCCCCGAACCTCTCCAAGGAAACCCTCTGGGACCCCCTGTTCCGTTTCCGAAAGATCTGGGATAACTGGTGACGAATTCCAAACGGGCGCCATGCCGTGGGGCATCCTCATAAAACTGGCCCCCGGAACCTCCTCAAGGAAGTCATCTGAGGTTCCCTTGTTCCGTTTCTGAGAGATCCGGCAATTCTAACGACGAACTTCAAACTGGCGCCCTCGCGTGGGACAACCTCAGAGAAACGGCCCCCCGATACCGCCGCCATCCGTCGAGGCTCGTGGGCCCTATCGGCGATCCTCATCTCGTTCAACTCGGCCGCCGCACCAAGCTGCGACTTCGCCAAATCGCTGCGCTGCCCGAGAATCGCGGCGTCGGGCGGGGCGAGCGGGAGGCGGCAGCGGTGGACTCGCGAACGAACAGCCCGCGTCTCCCACTACAGAACCCTAGGAAGAGGATACCACGCAAGACTCGCCAGGCTCCGCGGGCACGTTCATCTCGTGGATGCTCCGCAACCGCATGAACACGAGCGAAATGATGACGGCCGACCACCGCTGCGACGGCATTAGCTTCCGAGCGCACTCCACCCACTCGCTCTGAGGTAGGTACTCCAATCCTGGGCACACCCGAAGACTCCGCGAAGGCGTTACGGCAGGCGGAATTCCACTCCACGAAGCTCACCCACGACTCCAGGATGAAGTCGATCACGCCCACGAGCTTCAGGCCCTCGCGCAACACGAACAGGGAGCCAATGCATCATGCAAGCGATGTGGCGAACGTCAAACCCAGCAAGCGGCACAAAGGGAAACTTTGGCCCGACCCCACAGCATGCACAATATTATGAACACCGCAACCTGCTCAGCCTGAAAGCCGGCCTGTAGTAGGAACCCCAGCGTGCCGATCGTGCCCGCGCGGATCCCGTCCGTGGCCTGTGTCATGAAGCTCTCGCGCCAGGCAGGCGTTAGCGCTGGCATCGGCAACCAGCGAATCCACGGCACAACATCCACAAATACAGCGGTCTTTGCTGTGATGGTCACCGTCCCCATGCTGAGATGTGGCACCAGCACCACCCACGGGTTTCCCGAGTGTCGGCGAACCAGCATGATCTTCGCACCGTCCATCGCGCCCTGGCGGTGATAGCGACGGCCACATACCTCCACAGGCATTACACGCTCCAGCGAGAGGTCTGTTGGGTCGAACTCCACCCCGTCGAGCGGCGAGCCCCGCGCAACTGTGATCAACGTTTACAAAAACGCCAGGAGCAACCCACCGCAGCGCGCCGTCTCGGGCGAATGCTCGAGGCGGCAGGCAAACAGCCTGCCCCAAAAGGGAGTCAAACTCGGGCACGTCCCTCTCGCCCTCCGGCTCCGACGATCCAGTCGACGACATCGCGATGCCCGCGCGCGCGGGGACAGTCGTGACGAGGTAATGCAGCTCGTGCGCAACCTGCATGCATGCTCGAGCCTGGAGAACTTGAGCACGCAACGCAAATATACATTGCAAACTATGGATTTTGAGAAGGGACCGACCGTCCCGGCACTCCTATAGGCCTACCACGACATGGCTTCAGAACCTCAAAATGCTCTAATAACGAAAACACTGCTCTTAGACCATACGACCGATGTGTTCAAAGAAGACAGCCGCAGCCAGACATGTTCTAAGAACATTTAGCGCAGACCACAAAAGGTTCTTAGAACATTGTTGTCTTGTGGGCCTACAGGCAAGCTGAGACGCTTCGCCACCGCCTGAATATGATTCAGAGTGGCGCAGCTGGCTTTTCTTCAACAAATCCCTGGCCCCCCCCCCCCCCCCCCCACACCACACACACACACACACACACACACACACACACACACACACACACACACACACACACACACACACACACACACACACACACACACACACACACACACACTGCATGAAAACAAGCAAGGAAGACAAACACACATTGTTGTGTTTATCATCAGGCGCCTGGGGAGGAGGAGGGGAAGGAAGGGTAAGGGTGAGGAGACGCGGGCACGAAAAATCCATTGCCAGGGACAATACACAAAAGGGGCAATGCTCAGATGCTGCTGAGTGCGCTCGGACGCGGCTAGGCCAGCAGCGGTGCCAGCGACCACGCCTACGACGACCACCAACACAACGACCACTGCGACCACCTACGGCAAGACACGACCACCTGTACGACCACTTTGACGACGCGCCCACTACCGCGACTTCTGCTACCACCACCACGACCACCACCAGCGCGACAACCGTCAGGACCACAACGACAGGACACGGCCACCACCACGACAGCCACGACCACCACCACCACCGCCACCACGACGACGAATCCCACCGCCCCCGCCGCCCCCCAACCCCACTTCCCCCCTTCCCTCCTACCCGGCCGGCCGCAGTTGCGTGCAGCCATCGCCCCCTCACTCCGTTAGCTCACGGATGATTACCTCAACCGATCAAGTCTGGATCCCGCGGGAAACGCGTAGAGGCGGCGTTGGCTCACACGGGGCCGCTTGCCCGGCAGGGTCGGCGGGCCCAGCGACGCAGCCAGGGCCCCGCCCCATCTTCCTCGGCCTCCTCGTCCCCCTCCCCTTCCCCCGAGCTGCTCAGAGCCCGACGGGGGGACACGCCGACCGCCTCCCCCCTATGCTGCTGCCTGCTGGCCCGCCTCAGTCCTCTCCCCGGTCCTGCGCGGGCAAGGAGCGGAGGGAAGGAGGATCGAGGGAAAGAGGGAGGAGGGAGGACAGGGGGGGAGGAGCAGGGAGGAGCGAGGATACTGGAAGGCCTCCCTGAGTGCCCGTCGCGGACCTGAGCGTCCAGAAACATCTGGGTGATGATGAAGTCTGCGCCCGCGTCGCACTTCTCCTTGAGGTAGGCCATCTCCTCTGCCGAGACCCCCGTTCACACCCAACCTTCGTACACCATCCTCCCCCGACTACTACGGCCGCTGACCCCTGTGCTTCCCCTCCCTCCCTGGCCTCCTCCGCTCCCTCTCCAGCCTACGCCTGCCCCTCCCCTTCCGCATTGCACCCCGGTGTCCCTCGCTCTTCGTCGTCGTCTTCGTCGTGCTCCTCCTCCTCCTCCTTTTCCTCCTCCTCCTCATCACCATGCGTATTTTGCTTAGGAGTCTCGCATGGGCAATTCACATGCACCCTGGGCTTTGGCCAACCCGTCGTGCTCTCAGAAGGCCCCAGATATACGTAATGCCTACTCTTTGGGACGGCGCCACCTCTCCTCAAGAGCTCGCGGTATCCCCCGCTCCCCGCTCAGACCAACTCTTGGAGGCGGGGTCGGGAAGAATGAGGGACGGGTGCCCGAAAAGGACACTTTATGGTACACCACACACACAAACGCAACAGCGCCCCGAAAAGGGCGCAAGGCGGCTCAAGAAGGCCCCAAGACAGCCGAAGAAGCTCCCGAGCAGGCTCGAAGGGCCCCCAAGCGATCCCCCCAAAGGCGCCCACACGGGGAAACGTGAACTGACCAATAGCCAATAGATCCGCCGCCCCAGCCGTCCAGGCGAGCTAAACTCATCGGCCCCAGTTAGGCCAATCCTCTTCATGTCTCCACAAGCCTTCGGCCCATCACTCCACCACGCGCGGGACCCGAGCAATTCATGCAAAACCTCCTAGACGGTTTCCAAGACGGCCCATAGAGGAGTCACCCGCAAAGATCGGAACGCCCCCCCCTCCCCACCCATCCCAACAAGGTGCTCCCAGTAGGCCCGACATGGTCCTAAGACGCTTCCAAGACGGTACAAGGGCTGCTCAAAACGCCCGAAGCGGGATTCAAGATGCCTCCGAGGGGAATGGATGTTGCCTTCTCGACTTTGTACTTCCGATCGGCTTCCGAAGCCCCTGGACTACAGATGAACCGCATGTTGCCCAAGATACTGGGATCAAGGGACCAAGAATTCCCCTCAAGGCCCCCTCGAGAACCCTAGGTGCGTCCCCATAAGGCCTCTACAAGGACCCCTCGCCCTAAGGGGCTAGTACACCGCCACCCTGGCAGCCCACAAAAAGCTGCCCACAAAGCACACGACGCCCTGCCATAAATACATAAAGCCCGCACCCATCTCATACAATCCGATGGACCAAGAGGGCTGGGAGAGCCCCCAAAGCACGTCCAGAGAGCTTCCCCCCCAGACGCCGCTCAATATAGAAATCGTGTGATCTCCTTGTCTTCCCGAAAACACTTCGTGGTACCAGAATTTGACCAGGGAGTCGAATTAGACATTTACGTCGATTATTGCCCACAAGTCTCTACCTCGCGTTTCCACATGGGCAGGGGGCGGCGGAGAATCGTCGTAGGCATCTTCGATAAGGTAGTAGGACGGAGAGGGACGTGTACGAACGGCATGATCCCGAGCTAATCTTTCACGGCTCCAGGACCCCTGGGTGGGCCCGAAGACGGCGAACGACCTCTAGGATCTGAGGATCTGCTTCCTCCAGAGCACCTCTCCTTCATGCTCGGTCGCCAAAACTCCTTCCCTGACCTGCCCTGAGGTGCGCCTTGACAAGATCTTCGATAGGAATCCAGCCGTGGTGACGAGAAACCTCTACGGCAAATCCCCCCGAAAGGCCCCAAACGCCTAGCCGCAGAACCTCGCCGGAACTCATTGACGACGGCCCCCAAAAGGCTTCGGGCACGCGCTGGCCCGGGCCAGCGCCAACGCGGGCCATCCAGCCATGTCGCGGACCTGCGCCAGCCACGAAGCACCTCCCGCACCCCGGGTCAGCGGTGGGAGGGAAGCGGAGACCCCGGCAGCAGTTCGAGTGACGACGACAGCATGCGCGTGCGTCGTCTGCAAGGTGGCACCTGCGAGTGCCATGAGTTGCTGCTGGTGCTGTGCAAGGCCAGACCCACTAAGACCTGGGCCCCTCATCAGCCCTTGGGCCGATCCGGATCAGCGGAGGGAGGGGAGGAGGGGCCGGCTCCACGTGGCTCCCAAGCCCAGGTCGACCAAAGTGGATCGGAGGGGGCAGGCTGTGCCCCGTGACGTGCGCTGCTCGTGGGCTTCCCTCCCCGTGCTCAGGCACCCGGCACCGCGCAAAGGGCGACGTGCTGAATGGTCACGGTCGGAGCTTCTAGCCCTGACCGTGCGCGGAGATCCCCGAGCTGGAGGGACTCTAGGCGGGGCACCAGCACGCCCAGACGCCAAGGCCCACGGCAAGTTCTTGCCTTGACGACGCGAGCCCTGTGTTCCGACGCCGCGAGAAGCCCAGGCCAGCAAAGATGGGAGACCCTCAGATCCGACGACACGAAACAACTGCAAACCGACCATGGCCCTGGGCCTCATCTTTCTGCGGCACTTTTTGAGCCGGACCGATCCGTGAGAGCCCCATGCCCCGGAAACACGGCAAAAACGCCCATCGTGAAAAACTGCGACGCCAGGATCTCAGGGCTGGCCAAAACCTTTGAGTTTTTCAGGTCGGAATTCGGCTCTCCAGCAGCCGTTCGGGAAGATCTGGGCAACCCTGTAACTCGTCGTCGCCGTCGTCGTCGTCGTCGTCGTCGGGGAAGGCCGTCGCCGAGGGTCGCCGAACGCCGCCAGCCGACAACCGTTGGTGCCGATCCCCGTCGGGCCAGCGCCCCGCCGTGGCCATGCGGCGGAAAACGCGCCCGCCCGGCCGCGTCCTTCTCGAAGTCGGCGTCGCGGGCCACGGTCACGACGCCGTCGGGGGCCACGCGGGCGCGGCGCTTCTCGCTTGGCGACAGGGACGCAAGGCCGCCCTTGGGGGGGGGCGGGGGTGGAGGTAGCCTCCTATTCCTCCTCCCTCTCCTGCTCCTCCTCTTCTTCACCCTCCTCCTCCTCCTCCTCCTCCTCCTCCTCCTCCTCACCACCATCGCCATCATCATCAGCAGCAGCATCATCAACAACAATAGCAGCAACATCATCATTATTACCATCATCAGCAGCATCATCAGCAAAATCCTCATCATCAACATCAACACCATCATCAGCATCATCATAACCCCCATCCTCATCATCAGCAGCATCGTAATCATCAGCATCCGCATCCGCATCCGCATCCGCATCCGCATCCGCATCAACATCCACATCATCATCATCATCATCATCATCATCATAATCATCATCATCATCATCATCATCATCGTCATCGTCATCGTCATCATCATCATAATCAGCATCATCATCATCATCATCATCATCAGCATCATCATCATCATCATCATCAGCATCATCATCATCATCATCGTCATCGTCATCGTCATCATCATCATAATCAGCAGCATCATCATCATCACCATCAGCATCATCATCAGCATCGTCGTCATCACCATCATCATCATTATCAGCATCCGCATCATCACCATAATCATCACTGTCACCATCACTATAACCCTCATCCTCATCCTCAGCATCATCATAATGGTCCTCCTGAAATTCGCTAGTGTTCCCAATCCTATGTGGTTGGGCATTCGTTTTGACCAAAACACTATGGTTTCCACCTCCTCCTCCTCCTACTCCTACTCCCGCCTCCGTCCTCCCGCCTCCTCCCGCCCTTGCCTTTTGCTTTATTCCTTTGAATAGAGCACTGCTCGCGTGCCTTCCCGCCTCCCCTGTTCTCTCTCTCTCTCTCTCTTTTTTCTCTCTCTCTCTCTCTCTCTCCCTCTCTCTCTCTCTCTCTCTATTGGCGTCCCTCGTATCTGCCTCCGAGTTCATCATCCTGGGGGGGCTTTCGAAGGCTGCTGGGGGGGGCTAGCTTAATGCGGTGCTAAGCAGATATGAGCGGGACCTCGCCATCCCTGGGAGGCAACGATATGCGAAACTGTTGCCACCTAGTTCTGTGCTGCGAAGATCAAATCGGCACCTCGCCATCTCCGGGGGGCTGCGATCCGCGAAACTGTTACCACTTTCGAGAGCTGTGGGCACCTTGGTGCGGTGTACGCGCGTCCGAACGGGACCTCGCCATCCTGGGGGGCCGCGATCTTTTGAACAGTCGTCAATTTCAGGGCTGCTGGGGGGGGGGGGCAAAATAGTGCGGTGCTAAGCAGATCAAAGCAGGACCTCGCCATCCCTGTGGGGCTGCGTTTTGCGAAATTCTCGCCACTTTCGAGGGCTGCTGGGGGGGTGAGCCTGGTGTAGCGCTAAGCAAATCAAAGCGGGAACTCGCCATCCGCGGAGGGCTGCGATCTTCGAAACTGTTGTCACGTTCGAAGGCGGCTGGGGGGGGGCAGCTTAATGCAGTGCTACGTAGATCAGAGTGGCACCACGCCATCTCTGGGGGGGTGCGATCTGCGAAAGGATCGCCACTTGCGAGAGCTGCTGGGGGCGCAACTGTGTGCGGTGCCACGCGGATCACAGCAGCAGTGGGGGTATTCGCCGCAGATTCGAATTCGACCTCGCCATTCCTGGAGGGCTCGCGCGCGTGCCATTGCCTTTCGATTTGTGATTTCTACCTTTCTTTCGAGGTTGCCCATCGGGCCTTCTGATCACTCCCAGCTCTTAACAACGAGCAAGGCTCGCGTGCCCTTGGCCTCTGGTTTGTGATATCGTCACGACCCTCCAAGGTTGCCCACTTGGCCCACTAATCGCTCCCGACGCTGGACCACGAGCAAGGCTCGCGCGCACTTGCCCTTCGGACTGTGCCATCGCTACCGCCCTTCGAGGTAGCCCATCGGGCCCTCTGATTACTCCTGGCTCCTGACCACGGGCAAGGCTCGGGTGCTTTTGCCTTTCGGATTGTGACATCGCTACCGCCAATATGGCTGCAAGCAGGCTGGGGCGCCCCGTGTCTGTTCGAAGATTGATCTGAGGCGAGCAAGAGTAGGACGGGCTTAGAGTTTCGTGCTGATTCGGCCTCTGGGGGCCGCTGTCGCCACGACTGGATCCGCCTCAGACCCCAGACGTATGTTCGTCGTGCTCCCAGCGTGCGCGCGTGTACGTGTGTGAGTGTGTAAGTGTGTGTGTGTGTGAGTGAGTGAGTGAGTGAGTGAGTGTATGTGTGTGCGTGTGTGCGTGCGTGCGTTCGTGCGTGTGTGAGAGTTTTGTGTGCGCGCGTGTCTTGTGTGTGGTGTGTTGTATGGTGTGTGCATATGTGCATGAGTGTGGTGTGTGTGTGTGTTGTGCCTCCCCAGATCCTAGGAGGGCACCTCCCGTCCGAACGTGAGCGTTCCTGCACGTCGGTGCCAGGCCAGGTCCCATCGATGACAGCGTGGGCTGTGGCTTTTCGTATCGCCACGTGATCCGCTTCAGCACTGAGCGTTCTTTGCTGCCTGGGATCCCCAGAAGCCGACAGGCCCCCTTCCGCCCGAAGGTCCGCGCCCGTGCGGCCGCTGGCGGGGACGGCAAGAGCCTGCCGTCCAACACCCGAAATCCTGAAGGACAGGTCCGGCTGTCCGGCAAGGGGCTCAGACAAGGGCGAGCAGAACGGGCGAGACTCACACGCCTTCCATGCAACTGTTTCTTGCTGCTGACACGTGGGCCGCCAGGGCTCTCGGCCCGAACTCTCCCGTCCGGCAGTTCGCCGCGAGAAACGTGAGCATGACGGCCACGATGCCCGACAGCGGCCCAGGCAAATCGTGGAACAGACCGCCCGTCGTGCTTCGCTCGCTCTCAGTGAGGCCCGGGCGAGTTGAGACAACGGCAACTCAGAATCGGTCCCCGGTCCCCTCCACCGTTGTCTCAGCTCGCCCTTCTATGAGGGAAGTCGGGAAGCCTGGGCGGGAAGGGCCCCTTCAGGAGAGACGCGGGAGATGGCGGAGGCGGGCCACACGAGGCTGGCGCCCGAGTGGAAGGGCGGAGGCGAAAGGGGAGGCGAAGAAGACCGAGGGCCGAAGGGGTCGGCAGAAGGCGAGCAAACGGCCTGGCGAAGGCGACGTCGGTGCAGGGCGACGTCGTCCCCGGGCACGGCGCTGCCAAAAGCACGGGCCGAGCGAGGCGCGGCGCCCCCCAGGAGCGCGCCCTAAACCACCCCCAGGGGGCGCCACAGGCGGCGTCTGGACACGGCACGGGCGCTCGTGACGGCGGCGACGACGACGACGACAACGACGACGACGACGACGAGCGCGCCGTGCCACGCGTTGAGATCCCCCCAGGCAACGCCCCAAGTAGCGTCGGGACATAGCACAGGCAGCGGTGACGACGACGACGACGACGACGACGGCAGGAGCGGCGGCTTCACGCCGCGATGGCGTCGGCATGGGTTTCCGGCACCGCGTGGATCGCTCAACCTTAGATGAGCGCGGCTTTCCGATAGCGCAGACGGTTCGACATCGGCCGATTCTAAGCGAATTGGCGACGTTCAACCTTGAACGCCATCGCTTGGGTCGCCGCCGCGTCAATGCATCGCGAACGCAACGTCGAGCGATGGTGCGGCTCCTCCACCACGGAGATGGCATCGGGGTGGCCCTCAGGGTAGCCGGCCACCGAAATGCAGAAGTAATCGCCGTGCTTCTCGCGCATGTACTTCACAAGGTCCTACCCACCAGTGTACGACGCGTCCGCAGGGCGCCCCCGGTCCGAGTCGGCACGGGGCAGAGGAGACGAGATGAGCTGAGGCTCGTAACGAACCCTGCCTAATCCCCCTGCGCCTGCTCGAATTCGTCGTCCTCCGCGTTTTTCATGTGACTGTGCTCCTTTTCATCCTCTTCATCCTCTGCATCCTGCCCCTCGTCCTCTTCCTTCCTCGTCCTCTTCCAACCTCCTTCCACATTATCCCCTTCTCTTAACCCCTCCCGTCCTCCACCTCCACCTCTTCCTCCCCCCCTCCTTCCCCGCTCCACCCTCTCTCCTTATCCACTCCTATCCCTTGTCCTCTCTCTGCTCACTCCTCCTCATCAGGCGTCAAAGGGGGCGGGAGGGGGTTTCTCGAGAAGACCACACCAGGGCGGACCCCCCGCAACACACACACACACACAAGCACAAGCACACACACACACAACACAAACACGTGCACTTACCAAACACACACACACACTCGCACACGCACACGCACACGCACACGCACGCACACACGCACACACGCAAACAACACGCACACAACACACACAACACACACAACACACACAATACACACATAGGCACAGGCAGGCACAGACACAGACACAAACACAGGCACAGGCACACGCACAGACAACACGGGCACAGACACAGACACGGGCACAGACACAGACACAGACACAGGCACAGGCACAGACACACAGACACAAACACAGACACAGACACAGGCACAGGCACAAGCACAGGCACAAGCACAGGCACAGACACAGACACGGACACAGACACAGACACACAAACACACACACACACACTCGCACCCACGCGCTCTCCCTGCAGGAGGAGGTGGGGGGCTGTTGGACAAGAATCGGGCGGAGCCCCCCCACCTACACACGCACGCGCTGTTCTTTGTGTTGTTTCCCTCGCTCTATCTCTCTCTCTCTCTCTCTTATTCTGTCTCCAGGAGGAGGACATCGATAGACGGCAAGGAGATAGGACGAATAATCTTCTTGACCTCGACTGAACCCACCGCTGAACTGCAACTAGCTGGCACTGCGGGACCTGCCAGCAAGCACCGCAGACATGCGCCACAAGCCTGCACCCAGAAAGGTCTGAGGCACAACGCGTTGCATCGCATGCGGCCAACTTCTGCGGTAAAGGTCCCAGGGCCAGGACACGCGGAGCCGCGAACCCCAACCAAGCGCAGGCAGCCGGGAAGACCTGAAATGGCAAAGGGAAGAGAGCAATGCGCCAACACAACAGGCCAGCAGCCGCGCGTGGCACGAATGGCCAAGCCCGCTGGGCCGAAAAACGCCGCCGCTGAGCAGGGGTGGCTCCATGAGGGGCAACAGGAAGAGGCTGCAGTCTGTATCGTGGAATCATCGCCCACAGGCTGGCAAGAGGCCCGCGCGGCCAGTCAAACCAATCAGCGGGCTGAACAACACTGCCCGTGGATGAAACACCACCCGCAGCACGAGCCAGCGCGCAGCTCTGAAGCGCTCATCGACGCCCCCCCCCCCCCCCCCCCCCCGACTTCCCCCCCCAACGCCAGATTGGAGCTGCGCGGCTGCTCGCCGAACCTCGCCAGGCCCCGTCAGCTAGAGGCCCTCATTCTCTGAATCCAGAAGCGGCACCGAATGGCAAAGACACCCGTGCCGAACCACGCCGGCACATTACCTGAATTCACTGTCACGTTAAGCATGCGCTTGAATTGCGGGGGCGCCTGCCCCTGCGAAGCGCGCCATCCCAGTCGAGCAGCGCAAGGCGGGGGCGCGCTGCAATCGGCAGCGCGCCGTCGGACTGAACGGCGCGTGCATCTCAGGCGAACAAAGAGCACGGCGCCGCCCGGGTTCGCGCAGGCGCCAGTCTTTCGGCCCAGTGTCTGCTGCCTCGCAGCATGCCGCGCGCGCTGCTTCGAAAAATGTCCGACAGGCGGGGCGCCCCCCGCGCCCCTGCCCTTCGTCCGCGCCGCGCGTCTCCGACTGCGTCGCCGCGGCCCGCGCCGGCGAGCGCCCCGGGGGGGGCCCGAGAACGGGGCGGGGGCCGCAGGGGGGGCGCATGGCCTGCAGCACTTCAAGAGAGAACTTCGGCCAGAGAGGCAAAGGGTCATCAACGATGGCGCCTAGATCCGCCATGCCCCCCGGGGCCGAAGGGTCGAGCTGCAGTCCGCGATTGGCCCGGGCGTCCGCGCGCCACTTTCCTATCCTACGAAATCGCCATTGGGCCGCGTTGCCGGTCAGGGCGCGCCCGGGGCCTCATACTATCGCCCACTAGTCGGCCCTCGAACGCGTTGGCCAGCAATCCTCCAAGCGCGGGCTCTCTCGCGCGAGCGCCCCCCCAGAGAGGATGGTGGCTCCGATGGGGCGCGTCGGAGCAGCGAGGGTGAATCCCGCACCAGAGAAATGACCAGCTGGGGCGCAACATCTCGCCATGAGCTCCATTGGGGGGCCTTGGGGGCCTTGGGGGAGATGGGCCCGGGCGGGGCCGAGCACCTCTCCGGCGCGCCCCGCCTCGCCCGACGCCGTGGGCGCCGCCGGGGCATCCCTGGAGTTTCCTGGCCCAGTGGCGCTGGCAGGATCCAAATTTGAAGGTGGTCCTCGCCCGCCCCCATTCGCTGGCGCCCCGGAGCCCTCGGGGCCAACGGGCTCGGCGACGCGCCGGATATTCCGCGGCGATCGCATTCCCGCGCGCTGGCCTGGGAAGCCAGCAATGGGGATGAGCGAGAACACCTCGAGCGCGCAGAACCTGTTCCGAGCGGGTCGCCTCATTTGTCAGGGATGCGGAGGAAGCGACTATAACAAGGGCGGGAGCCAACTGGGCCCCAAGCACTGAGACTTCTTCCCCCGAACGCCCCCACGGCCTGCGCGCGAGCAAGCAGGGCCCTGTCGCGGCGTCGGGGGCGCTGGGGGCCCGCGCGACATCCGCGGCCGATCGCGCGATCAGCGCTGCAAATAACACAGTTTGCGCGTGGCCTGGCGCCGCCTCTCTGGAGTTGCGCGCAGCCTTGGGGATTATCCAGGCGCGACCTGCTGCTCACCCCTTCACTTGTCAGCATGGCCCCGCCCGAGCCCCCCTGCAGGGGAACTCGAGCAACTCGGGGGGGGGGCGAGACCGAAGGGGGGCGCGCGCCCTGAATCGTCAATTAATGAACTCCACGCAGACGTCCGCCACCCGGCCGGGCCTGGAGAGCGGAGGGCCGCGATGGGGGCCCTCGACAGCGGTCCGCGCGACCTTCGGCAGAGCGAACGAAGAGCCCCAAAGGCGCGCGCGGCGCCCCAAACGGCGACGACCCATGAAACCTTCGCTCTGGATGTTCCGCGCTGGTTCGCTCAGCCGAAGGGTGGGCGCGAGCGACTCGCAGGCGAAGGCCCTCCGACAGGGCGCTTACAGCAAACCAGCAAACACTGGCACATGCTCGGCGACGCGCGAGCAAGAGCCGCGGGTCGCTCACCCCCAGGATCTCGGCGCCATAGGCTGCGCCCGCCATGGGGGCCAGCTGCGGAGATCCCGAGGGGGGCCCAACCAGCGTGCTCGATGCTCCTGGGGCGCCAGGGCCGCCCGAGCTTTCATCTCCGCGCGGCGGCCTGGTGCTCTGGCTGGGAAACGAGCTGTAAAATCCACGCCAAGGTTGACAGTCGGGCCTAGATCGCGGCCCCTCAGCTGGCCAAGAGCGCCCGAAATGTCCCGCGCGAGCTTCTCGCTCGAGGCCGCCTCGCGCACCTTGTCAAGAGCCATGTGGACATGCAGATCTTCAGTGATGACCGGAAGCAACGTGACTGGCGCAGGGGCAGATTGACTCGGCACCTGCTTGCGATTGCCCGCGCAGGAGACCCCTGCGGCATCGACGCAGACGTCAGATCGAAGCTGCTTTGACTTAGGCAGCGCGTCAAATGCTTCCGAAGCAGCGGCGCGGGCGCGCGTCGCAGCGAAACTGCGCCCCACTGGCGGCGTAGAAAAGCCCTCTGAGCAGGCCAGCGGGCGAGATGACGCGCCTGCGCCCGCGCGTATATAGAGGCCCTGCAGGGCGCGTGGTGGGATTGCGTTTCGCACGTGTCTTCCAGTATGTCGAAGTTGATAGCTCCATCTTTTTTCCGAGCACGCCGCGCCCGCCTCCGCGCGCAACGTCGGGCGCTGGGCGACGTCTAGCGCGCCTCGAAAAACTGCTGCAACCCCGCAACGACGAGGGTGGTCTTGCCCCCGTGACAGGGCGCAGGGGCGCCACGGGCGCCCCCGTGCCCTCTATCAGGAGCAGAACGCCTCCACCGGCACGAAGCCGCCCGCGGGTTTCGCGAGGGGCGCGAAGACAACGGCAGACATCTGGCGAGGCGGCGCCCCTGCTGACCCACCAGCTCGAAAGGCGCGCCAGGGGCCCGAGCCCGCCACCGCGCGACGTCTGGCAACGTCTGCATTTGCAACCACCTCGCGCAACAACAGAAACCGCTTTGAAATTCTGGGAGACGGCTCGCAATGGATCAGGGGCAACTCTAGACAGGGCCTGAACTGACTCGACCTTCCTAACGCGCCGAAATTGCTGACGCCAGAACTCACTGAACTCGATGCCTGTCTTATATACGCAAGAGGGGATCCGCCGCCGGCGGCCCAACCGCCGCCGACACGGTCGCACGTCGCCAAGAGGCGCCCCCCCCCGCCCCGCGATCGCGCGCGCCCGCTTGGCTCCTCTGTCAGATCCACAAGTCCGGATGAAAAAAGCAGAGGCCCGCGAAAGTCGATCGCCGCGCGCCCCGCGGGCCCGCGGGGGGGGGGGGGGGGGGGGGGGGGCGCGAAGTCGGCGGACCTGCCCGGTCCTGAGCCCGCCCATTAACCGCCGCGCATGAGGCCCCGGCCTTGCCCAGACCTCCGCCGCGCGCGAAATGGTCCAGCTTGGTCGGCGCCTCCCAGAATGGATGCATTCGCCGGAGCCAATTAATTGCCCCCGGAATTCGCCGACGATCTGGCGGGCGCGAAGACCCCGGGCGCCGCGATGGAGGCTCTCCCGGGAACCGTCTAGCACTTCGAAGCGTCTCTCCAAGGGCCCTCCCGCATCAGAAAGATGGGCGCTCTCCTAGCAAGCCCCCAGGCGTCCGAGCCCTGGCCAGCATAGCATGACCAGGGCACGCGACGGCGCCCTCGACGGGAAGAACGAACAAGAATAGCAGCTTCAGCAGGGGGCACCCGAGACCGTCTCCAGCGCAAGGCACCGCGGGGATTTCCATAATTACAAGCGCACCACTGCGAGGCTGAGTAGTTGGTTTCCACCCACTGCAGCCTATGCCCCTGAGTTATCACGCCGCTGGCTCGCGCGCCAGGCGACATCTCCCTCGGCGCGCCCCGCGCAGCTGATGCTGCGAACGAGCAGCTGCGCCGAGCCCCGCGCCCCAGGCTCCTGGGCCTTGCCGAGGGGGGGGGGGGGGGGCAGGATCCTGGGACCAACCGCCGAGTCAGTAGGACTGCCCTGCCAAGGATCAGCCAGCGCGGGGCCAACCTCGGACGGGCAACCAAACCTGCCCAGCCTGCGCGGGGAGTCAGCTGGCAGGAAGTGCGGGCCGGCCAGTTCCCAGGTGAAGTCCCCCCACCCCCACGCAGGGTGCGCCCCGCCGCGCCACGCGGGCCCCTGGGCCAGAGACACCTTCTTCAACGGGAGGGGGCGGCGGGAGAAAGGCTGGCATGCCATAGACAAGAAACATCCGCACTTGAAATTGAACCTGGCGCATCCCCCTGCCGCGGCGCTTCGCGCTACAGCAGGAGGAGGATCGACCTGCAGGAATATTCGGCCCGCTCCTCGACGTGATCGCGCTCCTTTGCTTCGGCGTGGCCTTCAGCCGCCAGAGCTTCAGGAGACGCCGCCACTGTTGACGCCGTTGCCTCCGAGTTCGCTGCCTCGCTCTCGCCTGCTGGCGAGGCTACAGCACCTGCGGCAGCGCTGTCATCTAGAGCGCCACCAGCAGTTCGGGGCTCTTCAGCTTGGACACGGGCGCGCGTGACAGCAGACAGACGACGCAGATGATCAGCGAACTCAGCTATGATCCCATCCGCCGTCGCAGTCGACTGCGCGGGGAGGTCCGTGCACATATTTCAAATTCCTACTTGCAGCGCCTGGCACCTGGACCCCATCACCTTGTTTTATCCGCGGTGCTGAGCTCGTATCATTTCGCGTCCGCCGTGAACAGATGCATGCCAGCCACATGCATCTCCTCGAGGCTGCCCTCAAGTATCTCCGTCACTGAGAGAGAGAGAGAGAGAGAGAGAGAGAGACAAAGAGTGGGAAGCCCTGTTCGTTTACTTTGTACGGAATGGGGAAGCTTAGACACCGGCTCCGTGTGAGAGATCCCTGCAGCCAGGAGCTCGTCACAAACAGAGGAGACTGCTTCTCAAGGGTTGGACATGACCTGCTGCAGTTTCCCGAGATTGGTAACGCCCCCCTGTAACCTTTTTTTTGTTTTAATAGCTCGCTACTCTAAGCCAAATTGACCTGCGTCAGAAGGGGAGGCTCAACCACGCCTTGGCGTGTGGCTTGAGTCTCTCTGCAATGCATGGCCGCCGCAGCAGTGTCACCGCCTTTTCTCCATGATATTCGCCAGCTGATCAATCTCTGTGACGAAGAAGGGTTTGATACCAGGCTCACCACCACCACCACCACCACCTTTGTCGCCACAAACCGACGAGGCGATGGTCCCGCCAACTCCGCCGTCGCCAGCGGCCAGAATTTAAGCTGGTGTTCCATACCACGGCTGCTTGCAATGCTTAGACCAGTGCCACGTCATACGATTCCTCTTGCATCCGCCGGAGGCACATGACCAAGACTGACGAAAATCTGCACCTGGTCTCTGGTCACCTCCACCTGACGGTCGCATGCCCCCAGACTGTCACAAGACAGGTGCAGGAAACTGAAGCCTGGGGAGAAGCAGGAGGCCCAAGCTGGCACGCTGAGAGCGACGCCAGCGACTCTGCAGGCCACCCCCAGCTCCATGACAAGCCGCCGGCGACGCCATGGCGGCTGTTTGAAAGGAAATGGAAAAAAGAGAGAAGAAGGGCTTGCAATCGCACGGCCTTTCCGAAAAACTCGCGCCTGGGAACGGCCAGCGAGGAAAACGGAAGCCCAGAAATGATGAAAAATGCCTCAAATTGGAGGCGGCAAGGGAATCTGAACTGGTTGGGGCCCCAGACAATCGGTCAGCAGGGGGGTGAAGCTAGGTCTGCTCAAAATCTGTCCCAGGACCCCTCCCAAGGTCCATCTGAAGAAATTGTTCATCCCTGTTCCGTTTTTGGCGGTCCCCGGGGCCCGAAAACGCCCGCCGAAGGCCAAAAGGGCCAAACACCTGTTCGAACCCGGAACCTCGAACCTCGCCCCCCCCCTTTCTGCTGGTCAGAACCAATGCGGGGCCACCTCAGAACCCCCGCTGGCTCCAAGGCGCCAGTCCCTCGAACCCTCGAATCCTCGAACCTCCTCACCTCTCGCTGGCGCCCCTCCCTCCAGCGCGCAGTTGAAGCCGCCCTCGGTGGCGGTCCACTGCTCCTGCTCGCGGCCCCAGGCCCGAAGGCGCGCGCGCGCCGGGCCTGCACAAAGACGGAGGCACGCTTACGCTACCCTGGCCAGCACAAATCCAAACCCTCTCGGGCAATGAAAAATCAGGTCGAGAAATGTATGGCAATTATTCCCGTTGCACTTCCGTACAAATGCTGGGGACCTGCGCAAGAGCCCGTGACGCCGCCTGGCCGGAAACGGAAACAGTTCCCGTACTGAAAACAAGGAATCGCTGCCGTCCTGCAGGTGGCGCCCTTGGGTTTTTGTTGCAGAATGCACCAGGTGTGGCGACAAGGGCGACACTTGGGGGCCCTCCTTATCGGGACGTCAGAAAACCACCCCGGATGAAAAACAAGTCCCAAGGACCGCTGGGGGTTCACGTCATGAGCTAATCAGGACGTCGGGGGTCAGCACAAACCCGGTCCGGCCAGAGCCCTGTCGTGCAGCCCAGCCCAGCCGCCTAGTAGCTCCCAAACCGCGGGTCAACGGAGGGCGGACACGGGGAATCAGCCCCGTGTGGCTCCGAAGCCCACCAGACCGGATTGGTTGACCCTCGTTAGCGCCGGTCCCCGCTCCGTGAGCCCCGAGAGAGGGGCCGCCCTGATGGGCCCCGCCGGGGCGCCTCCTCGGGGGAGGGCTCCCCCGACCAGGCAGAGAACGCCAGAACAACTCGCCGTCGACGCCCTCTCTGTCTGCCGGCATCGTTTGTTTCTAGATGTTGGCGCCCTGGGGACAGTTGTCGGGCAAAATGGATCGGGAGGGAGAACGACCCCTGGAGCAGCGGACTGAACATCACACCGGCGGAAGTCATGGGAGCTGGGTCAACCAGCGCTACGTCGCGAGCCCGGGCTGGCCACGAAGACGCTCTCCCAATCCCAAACGCGTGTCCGCGGAAGCAGGGGAGGGGGGTGTCGGCTCCACGCGGCTCCCAAGCCCGGGCCAGCCAGAGTGAACTCGGAGGGGACAGGCTGACCCCCCCGTCGCGTGCGCCATTCTGGTCTGTCGGGGGCTTCCCTGCCCCTGTTCAGGCACCCGACACCAGCAAAGCACGACGCGCCGAAGAGCCACGCTCGGAGCTTCCGGCCCCGCCAGTGCGCCGAGACTCCCGAGCAGGGTCGATCCAGGCGAGCGGCGCGGAAGTCCGATGGCGCAAGGCGCTGCGGCGGCGCCTGGCTGGCTCGGCTGCGTTTCCTTCCCCCCCCCGCCTCTTCTTCCTCTCTGCCACAGGACGCTCCCTCCGCGGATGTGGAAAAAAAGTGCGGGGAGATCCCCAGGCTGGGCCGATCCGAGC